GTTCGCCTTTCACTTGATTAGAAAGTAGGTATTGTGAGGCCAATCCACAAAGGCGGAAACCGAGAGGATCCTGCGAATTACAGACCGATCTGCCTGACGTCGGTCCTTTGCAAGACAATAGAAAGGATTTTTAAAAGAGCCCTTCAACTTCATCTCGAGGCACTGGATATCATTAGTCCTGCTCAGCACGGTTTCTGAAGGGCACGCTCTTTTATTATCAACCTACTTGTTTTCCGCGAGAAGTGGGCGAAGTCATTGGATTCCGGTCGTCTCCTAGATGTTGTTTTTGTTGATTTTAGCAAAGCATTTGATAGGGTTTCACATGACCGGCTCCTTATCAAGCTCCGGAAGATTGGCATCGCTGGTAATGTTCTTTCCTGGTTTGTCATACTATGAGAGTGGTCAGTGAGATTCCAACTGCGCCTGTTCACATGATCAGTGGGGTTCCGCAGGGTTCCGTCATTCATCCCGAACTTTTCAAAATCTTCAGTAACGACCGTCCAGAGGTGCTTCCCACTGACTACTTGATCTACGCTGATGATCTCAAACTATGATTTAGACTTGAAGATTCGAACAAATTACAACTGACGCTCGATTTGCTGCACTACTAGTCTGTGAACTGGCAGTTACCTATCAGCCATGACAAATGCTATGTTCTTCCAATCGGTTCTCCAGAACCTTTCGACGTCTACCACATTGGTGGTTTCCTGCTGAGCGACGTGGCTTCTGAGAAAAACTTGGGTGTGCTTGTCTTCCCTAACTTGAAAACCATCCCGGATACGTTGCGGAAAATCGCCTTCGCCAACAGGGTACTCTGCGCCATAAGGAGGTCATTTTCAAAAGTGACACCTGAGATCTTCAAGTTCTTGTTTCCTTCCCACACCTGTCCAATATTGGAATATGGACTACTCGCTTTACACGCTCCCAAAGTTTGAGCACGCTTTATTAGAGAAGGTTCAGAGGTGTGCATCTAAGTCTGTGTCAGTGCTGCGTGATTTATCTTATCCCCTTCGACTTCAGCATATGAACTTGTTCTCTGACCTATCATCATCGCCGTGGGGACCTGATATGCACAAGACCCACCCTAAAAGGTGATTTTGGGACGGAGGTGCAAGAGTTCTTCCAATTCAATGTAGATAACTCGACACCTGGTACAGTTGGTAACTGTTTAAACTGCGGAAGCTCCACATCCGCTCCGACGTCACGTTATCCACCCGGGTCGTGAATCAATGGAACAACCTCCCGGAATATGTTGTCAGTGCCCATTCGGAGGGATGTTTCAAGCAGCAGTTGGATAACTACATGCTGAGAATGCTTGGATTCAACTGTTTTTGCTGCAACTGTGCTGATCCCTTGGTGAACACAGGTTGGCAAGAACGCGCATCATCCAGCCAGTGAACGGGAGGTGAAGGAGCTAACACAACACTATGAACTATAAACACTTTCTCCATCCCTTTGCTCGCCAGAGGCGTACCCGACATGTAGCGCGTCAGTGTCGCATTAGCAAGTCAATCAAGTTAATTGTCGTCGGGCGTAGCCTATCTAGTGATTGTTGTTTCCTCTTCCTTTTGCCTTCCCATTTCGTCTTCAGTATCGTTAGAGCCACCATCTCCCATGCGTGTTTTTACGCCATCCATCTAGTCCCCTCGCGCTCGGTTCTCTACGGGCAGCTGTGACAGCACCGCCCTGCTATCCACGAGATGTGACACAAGCACACCGTTCATCCAGCTCAGAGACTTACAAGGTGGTTGACCAGCCGCCTACGAAGTATCTCTTTTGCCTTATAGCCCCCTCGGTCTATTACGACCCACATACGCCCTGGACCCGGCAGCCCTCGGACAGACGCACATTACACGACGGCCCGGTCATCGCGGTAGCAAGTCAACAATTAAGTTGTGGTCGAGCGCAGCTTATATTGTAATCGTCCTTTCCTCTTCTTTTTGCTCTCCCCTTTCGTCTTCGGTGTTGTTGGAGTAGCCACCTATCATGCGTGTCTTCGCGCCATCCATCTAGTCGCCTCGCGTTCGGTTCTCTATCGGAGCTATGGCAATGCCGTCTATCTATCTACGAGATGTGACACATGCACACCGTTCATCCAACTCCGACACTTACTAGGCGATTGTCCAGTGGTCTACCGAGTATCTATTTTACCTTTTAGTCCCTTCGGTCTATTACGACCCACATGCGACTGGAACCCTCGATCAGACGCAACTACACACTGTCCCGCCCCCAAATACCACTTTTTGAGGTAGGAAACATGCTATGCGAGTGCTACTCTAACGGTATAATATTGCGGCAAAGTGATAAACACTGTCAGACACGGTTTTTCATTTACAAAGCCATCTTTCTCATACTTTTATGCTCTCGTTTCTCACACATCGATGTCGGACAGCAATCCGACACTCAGAAAATCTTGCAGAACTTGTTCATATTCGCAGTCCTCTATTCGCAAACCATTTTCTTACACGTTACTGCGTGAATCTGGTGGTTCAGCATGCGGCAAATCAAGTTGCCAACTTGGACATTGGGTGTCCATGCATTCTCTAGAACTTTTGGAAGTTCGCCGACATTCTGGCTGTGAGTGAATACAGTGAGACTCGCATCTACCTCCGGACGAAACTACATTCTAGTCTGAACAGAGATCGCGAAGCGTGGTGGCCTTATCTACATCAAAGTTAGAAATGGTCGCTGCCCTTGGTAACCATCGCAAATTATTCCGTTTTATACACGAAACGAGCAGAAGTAGACATAGTGTTAGCGAGACCATGCGTGACAAGGGTAGGTGGGCGATCCACAGCTTGTCAGAATGCTTGAAACATTGGGCCGAGCACCTTGAAAATTAGCTTAATCAACTGGAATTACCAATTTCTCCTTCGACCATTGATCGTCCTTCTCTCTAGGCCATCCCTCTAGACCCGCCTTGACGCACAGGTCTTACGTAAGATCAGACTGTAGACAATGAATAAGGCCGCAGGATCGGGTGGACTCCCTCCAGGTCTTCAAATTCAGGGGACCTCTTCCTAAATGATCTGCACAACTTATTTGTGAAGCTATGGATGCAGGAAACTCTCCCAGCAGACTGCAGCCGCTTCTTAATAGTCACCATTTTCAAAGCGGGTTCACGTTCAGAACATTGTATTTAATTGGAATAAAAGCCGCAGCTTTACATAACCCAGAGGGCATGAGGAGTTAGGGTCGGGTCTTATGAAAAGGCCGGTGGCCGAGTGGTCTTCACACCTGACTTGCAATCATAAGGTCGCCGGTTCGAATCCGCGTAGGAGTCGGCGTCCTCGCGGTATACTTAGCCCACGTGCGGCTGCTGGTGGTCGCGCGGCAGCGAAGCGCCGTTACGGTCTACAGCTGATACGTTATTTTATTGTTATTATTATGAAGAGGCTAACTAACCTTATAACGGGTTATACTCGCGTCTTAGCCGGATCTTCATCCGGCCTATATGATAGTTAGGCAGAATACTCGCCGTCTTAAGGCGTGACACCTCATTACACTCTCATACAGTTAGGGGAAGAGTAAGCTATAGTGGAAAAAGGGGACTCCATTAACATGTAAACCTGGAGCGTTTGGGGTAGAAGAAGCACAGGTTGCTGCGTCAGGTGTGTAGCGGCCGGAATGCACCAATCATAGAGGAATCAGTCTGATCTCGATTGCTTCTAAGTTACCCGCCTGTCGTTCTTCATAGACTTGCTGGCACATGTGTAAGCCAGATTCGCTAGGAGCAAGCTGGGTTTCATCGTAGTCGCGGCTGTGTTGATCAAATCTTCACATTACGTCAATTGTTGCGGCGCCGCCATATTTATCGGCGAGCCACCTTATTCGTGTTCCTCGACATCAAAGGTTTCTTCGCTTTGCTTGCTCGATGTGCCCTTTGGGGCTGTCGACTTAGGAAAGGTGTGCCCGAACATTATGTAAACGTTATCAGAGCGCTTTACTCGCATCGTTTAGACAAAGTGAGGACTTAGGCAAACTGTTGCCGCCTTTTAACACCTCCAGCTGTGTGAGACCAGGGTGTTCGGTGTCATCTTTCCTTTGTAACATTGACCAATTCATGTCAACTGCGTTCACTGGACACGACTTGGGAAGCGTGGAACTGCTCCCAGGTAAACGGCTTCTTGACTTTACGTCGATAACATTGCCTTCATCTGTGACAACTTTCAAATCTGCCAAGTAGCATTGGACCAATTAGCATTGCTGTCCATCGTTTCGGGCTATGCTTTGCACCCTCAAAGTGCAAATTCCTCCTCTAAGGGTGGCAGGGACCCATCTCTGACCTGACGCTTGGCATCGTCGATAAAATCAATTATCTAGACAGCTATATCAGCGCCAGTGAAATGAAAAATGAGATCACAGACCGCAGCAAAAACTCGAGGCACTTTCACCAATCTCCGCCACCTGTGGCGCCGGCGCGACATTACTCTCTCTCGGAAGGACAGAGTTTACAATGAAGCCGTCCGTTCAACACTGCTGTACGTTTTCGAAACATAGCCCATCAAGTAGACAGACAGATACACTCGATCATAGCTTACCACATGTCTTGATGGAGCACCGTGTGAACAATGAGCTTGTTCGCCGTCATGTATTTGGTGGGAACCACGTAGTCCTCGACACGGAGCTGCAAACCCCGAACTCTGCTGTCTTCGCTCCTGCAATCTGGAATGCCATTCAAGCTGTCAACGTTCAACATGTGCACATTATTGTTAATCGGACTACAAGCTAGTCTTGCGCGCACGCTGGAAACCCTTTCAATTGATGGCTGGTTGTTTCCTATTTACTTTCCCTTTCTATTTCGTTTTTGGTGTATTTAAAGCAACCATACATCCATTCACCTCCAGTCTGGTCATGTTCGGTTCTCCATGAGCTGCTGTGACAAAGGCATCCAGCTTGCCACTAATTGTTAGTTAGGGACATCATCCAATCAATTCCGTCTCATTAGATGGTTGTGGTGAAACTATCCAACCAAATACGAAGTGCCCGTTTTTTATTTCAGCCTCCCATTTCTCTTACGTTTCGGACACGAACGCCCTCGGAATCCTCGACCGGACGCACAGAACACTCGTATCCGCGAAACGATGAGTGAGCTGTCGTACAAACAGCTCCACCAAGTTTCGTGTGGCAGCGTCGATCCTCCTGCCCGTGTATCCCTGGTGGATTGTAGTGCATACGGTTACATTTCGTGTGCAATATCTGAAAGTGAGTAAGCGGACTCTTGTCGTTATATGAAGAACATCCGGTATGCTCAAGCGAATCCACTTGCTTTTTCTGATTTATATTTTCACCGCACGTCATTAGGTTATAAGGAAGTGTTGATTGCACTGTAACCACATGGCATTGCTCTGTTTGTGCGCCGGTGCTGGCTTACTGTTGCAGTTAATGCGCGGTCTGGTCGCCGAGGTGAATTTATATCAGCCGTTCTAACTCGCATCGCCATGCCGGTAAGAATACAATACAATGCACGATAATATACCATGACTTTCGCAAAGCATTTGCAAATAGGCATAGACATGAATGGTAGGATTAATGGCCATACTCAGAATAGCGGTGGGTTAAACGCTAATGCATTCCAGTCAAGATCCCAGATCGTTACTTTGCCTTGTATCTAAGTTCCCCTTCTGACAGACGTCACACTTTGACTGAACCATATATCTGTCCGTTTCTCCATTCTCTTTGTCATGCCATCTGCTGGACACCTCAATTCGCGTAACAAGATTGCAGCAAGCATGTTAACATATGTGTGAAGTACTGTCGTAGTTTGTATAAGCGCCACATTTCACACGCATTCTTTCGCGGGATCCCAGGTTACGGTTTCAGAATGCCGAGGGATACAGGCAGTTTTTATTCTATACAGGCCAGCTTGATGCTAAGTAGATCTGGTGAATGCTCGAAAGAGCATCCGAGATGGGGTTAAGAGCGCTTGACACATGTCGTGCGTTAGTCGCACACTGGGTAACGTAGTTCAGCTGTCTAGTTTCGCACGAATATTTTTCTGTTCCGCCATTAAAAGTGTAGATCAGTGGTTTGTGGTCAGCGTAAACTGTTAATTGTCGGCCCAGATGAGGACGAAATTATCGATGCCTGGGTAGGTCGCAAACAACGCCCTACCGAAGGTGCTGTAACGCGATTCGGCCATCTGTAAACGTTTTAATTGGAAAGCTAGAGGTGCCCATTTCTGGTCCATGAGCTGTTGAAAGACCATTGTCCCTTGCAAGTTTTTTGTCCCTCCCTACGTCGCTAGTCTTCTTCCTCAAACCACGATCTCACTCCCCAAGTATAATAGGATCTTATGCATTACATTTGTTTTTTATTTCATTTTTTTCTTTTCTTTTTCTGTTGCAGCATAGTAGCTAGCGTTTCTCACCTTCAGCTAACGTGTACTCATGATGATGTTGGAGGACCGCACCGACAGCGGTGTCTGATGCTACAGTCGTCAGGGTGGTGCAGTCGATTCTCTGTGTATTAGAGGTGTTAGATTGGATGTAGTTTTTTGCGCTTCTCGAAAGCCAGTTGGACGCCGTCTAGAAAGTGGAAAACGCGCTGTTTACGCGACTGGTTGCATACTGCTCGAGCAGTTAGGAATGAAGCGTCGATAATAGTTGCTCTTGTCATAGTAACGGTGAAGCTCTTTGAAGTAGCTAGGTGCAGCGCGGTCATCTAGTGTCTGTACTTTGTCTTGTAGGGCTTCAATTGTCGGGGTAGTTGCTAACCCTATGTTGCATCACTCGTAACAGTTTTAATGTGATGGGCGTGTTTGTCATCAAAGAAGCTAGCGGTGTTATCTAAGTAGAGGTAAGCGCTAAGTTCAGCTGTGACCTGAAGCGCCAGAATTTTGGACAGCGTTACTAAGGCGCGAACTGTCTACTTTGATGACGATTGGCTTCCCTTCCACAGTTGACGTTAAGTTGTGCATATGGAGAATCGGGTACTTATTCCGACGGTGACCGTTGAAGACCCTGTAGTCACCACAGCTACGCCAGACACCGGATTTCCTTGCTACCAAATGCGACGGGGATGACCAAGGGCTCTTGGAAGGGCGGATTATTCTGCCTCCGTAACCTATGTACTGGAGCCAGTGTATAATTCGGGAACGCTACGCGGTTTGGTACAGTTTTGCAAGACATTATGGGTAAATGAAGGCGATACGGCTTTACACGATCGATCGCGACGACTTCTTGCCAGCCATTGTTACACCAGGCGATCTGGTGCCTAAAAGCACAATGCCGTCGTGCGACTCTTGCCATGAACTTCACTCACCCACTGCTCTACTGTGGTCCATATGTAAGAGGTCGCCCATTATTTATGAAGGCCTGTCTGACCCCTTGCCTCACTTTATTTGGTCGGTTGATTTTCCTGTTTCGTATGACTTAACGTTAAGTCAATACGCTATCCGGAGCGCCGAAGTCGGCTCTCATCGTCATTACACGTTTGCTGAAGTGAGAAATACTTTGGCTATTGTACCGCAGCACTGGAAGATAAGATAAAGGAAGGAGTGAGATAGTAAACATTACAAAATATAAAATAACAACTACAAATCAGGTAATATAATACTTAGCATTATGTTATGCACTGAGCCTAAGCTTTTGGTTTCGTGAAGGAAAGATGAGCGGGAAAGGGACGGACAAAGAAACTCACAACACAAACGTCATGGAGGTTGGCTTCTCGCCATGTCAACAAGATTATCTACTAAAACGTGTTTTTTGTCTCCCGGGTCTCGACACAGAAGTTGGGAGACGCTAACCGACGCCAAGTTCGAAGTGAGGTTCTTCATTTCTCTTAGCCAAGTCATCGTTTGGTCTCCTTATTCCATCCAGACCCCGGTCGCACAAATAACGCATGTCGCAGGAGTCAGTGTGTTGGCATGTGCAGAACGTAGCCCAGCCAACTGGGCTTGAAGCGTGATATAGAAGTGCTGAGTGATTCACTCATTCTTCTTGTACCAAATATTATATACCGAACACGTTCACTGCTCACTCGGTATTCCCACTAGACATGAGCTAAACTGAAGCGATGTTCGATTTGATGTGCCACCTTTCGCCACCATACAGGAGGGTTGAACGCACGGCTGCGTTTTCAACTGTCTTTCAGAGCGAGAATGATGTCGTGTCGGCATTACAAGTAACGACGATCGACAAAAACACCTCTAGCTTTTGCTATACGGTTCGTGATCTCATCTTCCACTCCACAGGCGCTAATGTAGCTGCCTAAATATTTGCATTTTTCGACGACTTCTAGCTGATCACCACTGAACGACAGTGCAGAGATGGGTTTCTGCCAATCTTAGAGAACAACATTTTGAGGATGCAAAGCATAGCCCGAAACGATTTACAGCCAGTGCTGCTTTGTACGGTTCTATCGGACATGTTTAGGAGTTGGCACGGATAAGAGCCTTGTCATCAGCGTACTACATGTGAAGAAGTCGATCACCTGGAAGCATATCTACACCATGTAGGTCGTGCCCAGTAACTGCAGTTTCCATAACTTCGTCGATGGAGAATTTAAGGAAGAAATGTGACAACGGGCATCCCTGTCACACTATTGGGGATATTGAAGGGAGGCGATAGTTTGCCGTAAGCCATCACTCGACCCGAACCGCGTTTACAACGCTCTTATGACATTTACACGTTTATCTAGCACACCTCTCCTGAGCAGACAGTCCTAACGAGCACCTAGATCCACCGAATCGAAGTCACCTTTGATGACGAGGAACACAACTGATGTACTGAAAAGTAGGAGTCCACAGTCCCCAATTTCGATGAAATCTGGCTTGCTGCTCGCGAATGTGGCTTTTACGAGTGCAAGTCAGTCTATCGAGAGCCAGAGGCAAGTAGTTTACAAGCAGTTGAGATCAGACGGTTCTCACTATTTTTGTCTCATTCTGACCATGAGACCCCATTAAAAATTTGGACTAACGGAGCATCTACAGTGTGTTTGGACGGTCTCCTGCTCCCACACATTCACAAGTATCTTGTGCAAATGATCCACAAAATTAATTCCCTGCATTTCATGAACGGCGAATTCAGTTTCATTTGTTTGATCGCACGTTAGACTTCCGCGCATAAGGGCGTTTCCAAGCCGATGGTCAGGGGAGAAGTACGACCACTACCCCATGAGGAAGCAGGTAACTGTCTGATATAACTGTTTTACAAAATGTTCGGCCCAACACCAAGCGTTTTGACACGCTATGGATAGACTACCCACTCTCATTGGATATAGTCCCGTTAACACTGTCTTGCTGCCCGTTTCCTATTTCAAACAGAATAGATTACGTTGGCTACCAAGGTCAACAGCCATTTCTATCTCCCATGCACGATGAGACCACCAGGTTTCGCGGTTTCCCCTCAAGCTAACACCTAGTTTTGCCCTGAAGTCTGCGAGTCTCATTGTCTATGAGCGTATAAAAATTCAAGAGCTGCTTTCAGTTCAGTTGGACAACTACGATCTGGGCACCACAGTGCAAGGGATCCAGTTACCATGACTCGCACCGCCAGTGTAATAATAAGTAACGACAAGAAAATGAGGTTGAATGAAATAGAATCTAAAGCAAATAGAATTAGGAAGGAATGGCATTGAACCAATCAGATCGAATGAAATTAGCAGCTAGGCGCAAAAAACCGAATGCAGTAACGCCACTGAATGCTCGACTGCGCTATGTCTGCTAGGGTCTCCAACCGCTAGTGTGGACCATCCCTGGGCTCCCATCCACGGGGTCGGCATACACCAGTCTGACCGAGTCTCGGTCAGTTTCTTCATACGCTTATGCCACGCCATCGAATGGCAACCTCGCGCTTCCGTCCAACTTGGTGCAGCCACGATGTTTAATGCACACCGGGAAGACGGTTGACGGGCCTACAGATCACATGATCTAGCCAACGTAAGCAAACTCCGTGGGGACCCATTGTCCAGATTTACAGTCAGATATGCCATATGATAACATGCCTACTGCCAATAATGTCTGGTTTAAATAATACAATGAGACGGATGTTGCACGATGATATCTTTTCGCGCTTTCTGATCACATGCAAATGAGCGGCATTCAGCGATCACGAAAGGGGAAGTCAATAATTTGAGTGGTTGACTGAATCACGGGGAATGCTGATCCTCAGCGATCCAAAAATTCCCATTTATTAGAATGAATCAAGGGAGGCAGAATCTGAGTAAAGAATTCTTTTCGGTAATTCTCATCAGACTCAAACATT